ACGGTTCACAAGAATCTGTCCGATATAAAGAGATTCCGGTATATACACGTCCGGTATAAACAGGTTTGACTGTAGTAGGTTTCGGAATATGTGCCACATTTGGATAGACTGTAACGTCAGATGCTATTCTTTTCCTAACATTAGTTGGGTCATAATGAACTATAGGAGATCGTGGAATATTATTATGGGTCAAATATCAAGTAGACTAAATGAAAATTTCTTACATGGTTGACCAAGAACCTTTATCGGCCCACGTATTACACCATTGTTGGGAGCTTTGAAATAGTCTTGAAGCACTGAGACAACACCTTCGTGATCTGCGTATGCCATATCAATGACGAAAACGTTCCCGTCGTCCCAGTGAAATTTGTATCCACTTGATTCGTTGTGATCAAGAAAAGTGTTGTAATTTTCCACTGAAACTTTGGACCCAATCTGAAAGGGCAAACTGCGAACCATAAAGTCAACATTGAGCAAATTTTAGGAAACCTATGTGGGGCATACTTACTTTTCTTCTCCTATGGAAAATTTTGGTAACTTGGGGTAGCCATGGACTGTTTTATTAACTTTATGTCCAATTTTCTTTCCTTTCGTTACGACTGATTGCCAAGTATCCATTTTGGAAGAGTAGGGAAGTCGAGTACGCGATCAGATTAATAAAATCTTTTTTTTTATCATTACATCATTTGGCGTGATTAAAAAGTCATGTGTTATGATCGAATCACATTTTTCCTGATCGATCACAGGTTCGGATATGTCTTACGGATAAATTGTGCCGGGGCGAAAGAATAAATCATAGTTCGAAGGTTTTTCTTTGCAAAAACCGTCACGATCAGAGTCATGTGATTTTTTGAACATATCCGCATCATGTATAAACAATGTCAGACGCTCAATCAAAAATCGATTCGTTGCAAGAATTAAATTCTCAACTCATTGCCACGATTGCTGAGCTTAGAAGGGAGAATGCTGCAATATCCTGTAAGAATGTCTTTTCTTTACTAACAATATGCTGACTATTTGCATATTATTAGGTTATATCAATAAGGGCGTCGACATAATCAAAGTTCTTGTTGAAATAAACACAGTTATTCCTCTTCTTAATCACGCCATCACGTAAAAAAGTCGGTTCTACTATGGTGCCGGAAGTCTATACCCGACAATGAAAAATAGGATATTTTAAAACCTATCAGCACTTTATATAGATAGAATTTTAAAAAATTAAACCTGTAATATTGTTCTTTAGGATAAGCTCTATTAAACTACCGGTCAGAATTTTAAAAAACGCTTTGTACAAAAAGTTATAAGCGTTTAGAATTAGGTACTTTTTATATGTTTCGCTCGAAATTGAAACAAATCATGTGATTGTTTTATCACGTGAATTTATTTTGTTGGTCGGCATTGAGTATAATTCAGGCCGGCACATAGTGCCGGCCTGAATTAAAAAACCGTCGATTCAAACTTACATTGATCAATCAATCAGACGTAAATTGATCAATCGATCAAACTAAACTTTATTGATACATTAATAATGTCGCCGCGTACAAAAAGACAACAACAGGTAAGTAAATTGGCTAGAAAAAGAGGCCGTTTTGTGTTTCAAGAACAAAGAACTGTAATATTGTTCTTTAAGACAAGTTCTATCAAGTTACCGGTCATAATTCAAAAAAAAACTTCTGATAAAAAGTTATAACCGTTTAAAATTAGGTACTTTTCATATGGTTTTTCAAAGTTTTTGCTGTGAATTTTGTCGCGTGATTTAATTTGGTTGGTTGGCATTAAGTTATAATTCGGGCCAACATAATGACAATCCAAAATTTGCGTGCGCCGCGCAAAGCGCGGCGCTACATTATATTATACAACTTTATTGGCCGCATTACACTGTATGCTATATATTACATTGCATACCGAAAATTGAAACAAAATCACGTGATTGTTGAGTATAGACTTCCGGCACCATATATTAAAAAACTAACAAAAGTCCGTAAACTATTTCATAAACAACGCCGGTGCTAACAAGAAAGTCGATACTTTCGGAGCATGGCTAGTGTGGTAGATGCCAGCCTTTATTATTATCAAAGTTGCTTGCGTAGGGTTGGATTAACGGTTAAAACACGAGAATAGCTTCTTTTAACCTCTGGTGCAATACAATCTCGTCTGGCCTTCCATTCCTTATCATTACTGCACAATTAAAACTGCTGTAGATACGAGTTCGAGTATCAGATTAACGCGTTCAACGTATATGTCTATACAAAGAGTCAGGCAATAAAAATAAACTTTACTTTTTAACCGAATTATTCATTGTCGTAAACGTAAACACGCAATTAATTCTAAATTATTTAATATCCTGGGATCTCGATTTTGTTGCGGCCACAATATTGACAACGTAATCTGCACCAATAATATAATGTCCTTCAAAACTTGGCCGTCTCCGAGTTTCTCTACTGTTGCATCTTTGTTATTTGCCTCATCCTCTTACATGCAGAATCCCATATAACCTTTTACAGTCTCTAACTCCTTCCCTTACACTCCCACTCTTCTAGCATTTAACCTTAAAGTGTTTTGTACAACGTCTTTGAGTGTCTTCCGAATGACCTTTGTCTCCTTCCTAATAGCCTTGATTGTTTCAGAATTAACTCGTTTTGCACCAAACGCACGAGCCTGTTCTTCAGCCACACGTTGTTCCACTTCCTCCCGAGCACGTACTGCATAAAACTCTCTACATGCTACTACATAGGCGTCCCGTTCAGAAGAGCCGTTAGACATTAGGTGTAGTTGGTATTGGATTACACTGTCATGAAATATATAAGTAAAGGTTGAAAATACTGAATAAGTAAATAAAGGTAGAGAAACAACACGCTTAACAATTTGCGGCTATTCTGTTCCCTGTTCACAGATCACGTTTCCTACTGCTTACCTCTCCCCAGTAATATCAGACGGTGCCTCGCCTTTATGCGTCAAGCTATCCCAGATCGTCCTTCGAGGCGCATCCTTCTCAATCAATACTTGCGGTCTTAATAATTCATATGGATGATCACGGTAAAATATCCTGCGCAGTCTGTCTTCTGGATAAACTATTGGTTGAGGGCGGGCATGTTTTTGACGAAGATGTTTCGACGAGTGCGAGCGGCCTTTTTTTGTATTTGTCGTTGGAAGAGGAAGTGACGTAGCAACGTGAGAGACGTAAGCTGCAACTAAATAAATAACACACCAGCAAGTGTAGGAAGAGATGGAATAATCGGAGGACACCGCGGAGGATGCATTATCAGACGAAACCGCGGAGGATGCATTATCAGATGAAACCGCGGCAGATGTATCATCAGATGAGACCGTGGCAGATGCATCATCAGGTGAAACCATGGATGATGGAAACTTTGAGGGAATTATGGAGGAATCGTTAGCTGGCACGGAAGAGACTGTGGTTGGTGTTAAAGAATGTGGCGTCGCTGCAAATGATATACCACCGCGAATAAGTGAAGGTCCGGGTGGTATCAGATTCATGACAGGGTACCATGGCGGTGGCTTTTTGTATATCTTCCCTTTCAGAAGACCTGCTACCACTGAATGTAATTTACCCGTTGGTTGAGGAAAGAAGCGTGGCATTTGGAAGAAGCTGATGCGCGGAGGAAGGAAAATATTTAACAGTACTCACGTGGCATAGACATATGTCATGTGACTTTTTTTTTTATAAAGCTCGAAACTCTTGTATTAGAGGGTAAGAATGATTTTTAATCAACTAAAAAGTTTTGAGTTTTAGGGATTTGAAAAGTAACAGTTTTCGTGTAAGATTAAGAAACTTCGATCCGTTATCTAATAAATGCGGTAGTTTAAGCACATTCTCTATTGTTTCACTATGCCTCGACCAACTAAAAGAAAGCCGCACATAAAAAAGTGTCTCGAGATGAAAGAGGCAAATTTATTAGAGATGAACTCGATTTTATCAATACAGAAGCAACATTGGTCGAAACGATCGAAATTCAGGTCACGTTTGTATTTTTTTTTCAAAATTTCACTGCGAATTGAATTTTATTGATATACACGAAATAATTATTACACATGGAGTGGATTACAAGAAACAGTTCCTCATGCTCTCGATTCTGTTAATTTAGTAACCATTTGTAGATTTGTGCGAAAAACGTGACATGGAATTACAGGTAAATATGCTGGATGTATGATAAATGAGAATTGAAACCACTTTTTAAGAAAAATCTTTCTAGCATAACAGTACAACAAATTTGAGTTTTTTTACTGTGCCAGAATTATATTTTTGGATACAACTGACAATTACCTCTCTGTACTGGATATACTGATAGAAACTTGCACACCACTAAAATAATATAATTGCCTTTGATAAACTGACAATCTTTGTTATTAAGCACGTCAAGCAATGCTTGATGAATTCGAATTTCTAAATCTTATAAAAAGTGGAATAAGGAAATACTGAACAGTAGGTATCTATTGACATAACAACTATAGATTGTCTTAGCTGAGCAAACAAAAAAACTCCAGCATTAAGAAAAACGAGAAGTAAAATATAAGCATTAATCATGTGACTTATAACATCATATTATTATTATCATTATTCATATTTAAAATTTAGTCCTTGAATTCACTAAATCAAAGCTTTCTTAAATATTATCAGTCACATTAACTAGTTTTTCAGCAACACCAGCAATTTTACATTTATTAAATTAATATTAAACCTGATTTCCGACATGATCGACAAAATGTGATACGAACCAGGAACGCGCATGTTTGCTTTGCAACTAACGAGTTGTTCTTCGTGGCAATGGAGAAATTTTCACGTTGGAGAGTAAGTCTTGGTGGTAGATAACACATTTTGTCAACCATGTTGGCTCACGCCGAATTCTTTACCTGTTAATAGGACAGCTCTACCGGAATTCAACCATTTTCAACACCATTGGTAAGTCTTTCTTAACAAGCGAGATCTACCACATGTTGACGAAAATAGCTTATCAAGCTAGCCGTTTGTTCGTTGTTCTTGTTATTGCTACTACTTCTGGTGGCTCTCTTATCTCCATCATAAATCATAGCCTTCTAGAAGGAGAACAGATTCTATGGAACATCTTCTATTTCTCTTGGGCGAAGTCCTGAAACCCCTTCTCGGAATTGTGAAATCAGTACTGGTCCTATTGGCTCTTCTGCTTCTGTTTCTGATTCGTGATATGATAGGCGTGTTATTGGTATGCTGTGCCATGACGTGAGTGCATTTACTTCCCAGGTAGAGGTCTAATCAGCCTCATAAAAGCTACCGTTAGGAGCTGTTCATAGGGCCTTTCGGTCTATATTTACCGCACTTTTGACGCGTCTGGCACTCCTGTTTATGGGCTTTTACTGGATTACTGTTGAAAATGTAACACTGAAAAGAGGGTCAGTTCATGTTCTATTGTCGATACATCCCGCCGAAACTAATATCAAATCTAACAGTACTTTGTTGACTTAGACGCTCTCATGCAAAAGGACACAAAAAAAACATTTCAAACCGAATAAAGTCTGGAGATGTGATAGTTTCCAACTGGTGTTCTTACATTGATGTACTGTATTTTGCATTCAAGTAAGCGAATTGTGAAAATTATGCATTTGTTATATATGTCTTTTCATAGTGTTGTAATAATAACTTTCTTTTTTTACCCTAATGCCAAGGTTTAATCCCGTGTTTACTCAGCTATATCCTGCTACAAATACATTACGGCCAATTTCTCTGTGGAGAGCCATCGCAATAGCAGGCTCTTATCCCGAGTTCAAACCACCAACTAATCTTGAGACATACAAACTCAAAGACCTATGTCAACTAGCTGCCAAGAATCGATGGGGTCCAATAGTTATCTTTCCTGAGGTCAGTGATGCGCAGTGCTTAGATATGTCTTTGGAGATACGCTTCAACGTTGTTTATTGTGTTTCTATTAGGCTACGACGTCCAATGGACGTGCATTACTGAAATTCTGTCCTATATTCCACGAAATGTCCTTACCTGTCAAGAATTGTGTCATCCATGTCTATGCAATAAAGTAAGAATTCAGCAATCAGTATGTCAAATGATCTCTCAACTACTAAAATCAAACATGAATTTTATTAGGTATGACTATGAGGGTTTCTCGCCGACATACACGGTTGGAAGTAGATTTTGGCATTTCATGAGATTATGTGGGGAGGTTTGTTGGCATTTGACATTATGTTGACGTAATGGTTTGTTTTTTTTGCGTCAATGATTGATTAGTAGTATGTACTCCATATTTGATAGTTTAAGAATACTCTGACTGTAAAGCATCTGGCTACAGAAGAGAGTCCGTCATCGCCGTCGTTCACAGCCTCTTTACAATCAACGTCTACACCATTCGCGAAGCAGGATATGGTTGGATCTCAGGTGATTCACTTACTGCACCAAATAAGTCGATTGCGTATGACGAATCTTGGTGTGCTAGATAAAGCCGACTTTCTAAATTACTATTGGAGAACAAATAGTGCATATGGAAAGAATCGAAGAATTTATTAAGGCTACGTGACCATGTATGTAGTCACAATACACTATGTTTTTACGTTAATCCAAAGCTGGGGATTATCATTTGTTTGCTATATTATGTATAGTTAAATCAGTGTTGATACTTGAGCTAAGTACACATGAACAAATATTTGCATAAAGAAATTGAGACTGTGTGACCATTGACCATGTAATCATGATATTAATGATTAGAATATATTCTTACATTACCCCCAAAGCCGGGGATTATCATTTATTTCATATAGTTAAATTAAATTAGTGTTGATACATGAGTTGTTTACTCCAAAGTACTTGTCAACAAATATCTTAATGTCTATCTGCAGCGGGTAATCTGGGTAATGCACGGTAATTGGGCTTTCTCAATGTCGAAACAAAAAAGGTTATATAAACGACTGCGATGTAAACATAATATGCTATGAATATGCCCAAAGGGATCTTAGTAAATAGGCTGTTGCAGCGTTGTAATCCAAGTGGGATATTGACAATAGCGGCCGTAATTACAATACGCCCCCACCACCTAATGATTGAGTTTGAAATGAGTAGGTTCGACGAGGTGACAATCAGAGCGTACAAGATGATGGTTAATCGTTAGAGAATACATACCAATGGAGCTTCGTCCACCATGGAATGTAATTCCTTTTAGGATCGAATAGTTTGTGATGTATAATGCCTATGATCCATTGGATTCCGAGGGCAATGATTATGAGAACTCCGAACAACTGAAAGGCGTCAAACTAGTTAGACCACACTATCTTGAGAGGAATATTAAGAGCACAAATTATTGAAACGGGAGGTAATATTTGCCTGATGTGCTACTCCAGCATCGAATTTTTTGCCTCGACCCACATATGCAAGGACAAATGCAATGATAACTAGAGGAATAGTTAAAAATGTTTGCATGCTCCAGTGTAGATGGAACCAAGATTTGGGAAGTTTTTGTCTTCCGAATCTGGCAATGAAGACAGCTGTTGGTGCAGATACAGCCCACGCAAGAAACATTATTACGGCTACAAGAATTGTGTACAAGGTAGATTTTACGTTAAGAAATATATACATAATACGGATAAGAATATACAGATTCTATGATGCGTTATTTGTATATGCATACCATGCGCAACTAACAATCTGTTATTATTGCCCAATATTATGTATCCTCGGTACAAGTGTTGCTGCAAGGTATTTGTATCATATTTACTTTCCGGGACCTTTTGATCCGATACAGCGTATATAAAGTTTTTGGTACTTGCTGATACGATTGAACCTTGCACTCGTAGAGGCCGAGAGAAAGCCGCTCGAAATTTACCATCTTTTAATCCACTTGATGAATCGAGTGTGAGATCGGCTTGTTGATTGGTCGGATTCGGCAGATCATGATCAGTGGCCTTTCGCTGCGATATTGTGACTGACCCATCAGAGTTGGGCCATACTATCTGTTATTCATGTGTGTTGGCTGTAAGCATTAATTGACCGACTATACTCATGAAACGGCAGTATAACGATATTTTTTGCTTACCATCAAGTATGCTCCAACCATGCCATCACCAACGCCAACGCCAACCCACCTACAGGTAATTCGTAAAGTCTTACTAACTGGTAGAATTCTAATTCTAATGCATATGATCACGGGCGTTGCGTATTTACCCTATATCAGCCGATGCCTCCACATTGAATGTAACATTATTGCTGCCAGTCGAGATATCAACGCAAAGGTTCATTGCATCGGGATAGCAGAAACGGGATCCGTATACATCTAATTGAATGAAGTATGTAGTTTTATGTCTCATTCGAACATCAACGTTTATACCAATTTCAATATACCTTGTAATAGAGAGAATAGCACGATAAGCAGCCATACGGCCTTAATTGCTGATAGGCAAGTGTTTCTCATCTTCACAAGGTCGAAATGACTGTTGCGGTCTTGTATTTATATTACTTGCCGAGTGGATTTGACGTGGTCATACCTAACAAATTGTTATAAAGTTCGCTAGTCTGAAAGTAATATGCTATGCCAAGGGGGTGACGCCACAGATTGTCCTCCCAACGTTTACTATTTTCGTTTTCCCTTACCCAGGTACAAAGCGTTAAACAAATAAACGCTGACAAATCAATTCTATGTTCAGAGAGTACATGCTTCATATTTGCTATTGCTCTAGGTGTATTGACCTTACTGAAACTACTCTACGAAATAAGTGAATACTCGTAATAGTAATACTAGCTTGAGAGATTCTAATACTAATGACTAATAATGATACGAAGTTTTGTGTCAATAATACGGTGGTGGTATATTATATAATATAACCACTCAATAATAGCTCTTTTTGTCAATCAAAAACCGTCATCCTGCAGAATTGCTGTCCAAAGTTTTCTTATTACTAATATCTTATTAATTCTCAACGACCTGCGGGTAATCTCTAACTCCGTTGAAGGCTAGATGCAAAAGAAAGTCGTTATTACTAAATGCTAATACTTACTAGGCAAACCCGATAATCGACTAATACTAATCCCGATTGGTTTCCTAAATTGGATAATGCCGGTGATCTCGTTGTCATAGTGACACAGACTTTTGTGACACAACAATCTATGTGTCACCAATTGTTCAAGATTCCTTAGGATTAGCTAGCGAACAACTTTTTTCACTTTTATATAATAATAATGTCGAAACTTTCTCTCCAGAACGCGATGTTATCGTATGAACAGTTAGCGGTATGCCGTCATTTACTCTGGTCTATTTCCTGGTCTCCGTTGATTTTGCACTTTATAATCTGGCCATGTAGTTGACACCTTCCAGGAAAGACGCTATTCCTGAAGAGCTCGAAGACGAATTGCGTCGATTAGGGTGCCATTTTATTCAGTCTGCCGGTATTCTGCTTAAACTGTACCAGATCAATGTTCGCTTTTGTCTTTCTGCTTACGCTATACTGAGATCTATGTATAAATTTATCATTACTTTCTCTCTACATTTATTGATTAGACCTCAAGTTGCAATGGCAACAGCACAAGTATTATTTCAACGGTTTTACTACGTCGCATCGATGATGGCCTTTAGTATTCGGGTATGATGCACGAGCTTGAATGTAAAGATATAAAACATGTAGCTAAAAGAGTTTTGTGTAGGACATAGGGATGGGCGCATTATTTCTTGCAGCCAAGGTTCAAGAATCTCCCCGTAAAATACGTGACCTGATAAACGTATATCACTGGTTGATATCAAAATACCAAAACACGGTTTATGAACCGATGGAATATTTTGGAACAGTATGTAGAACTTATTAACCGCTTTAACCACCAATGTAGTACTTTTGTCTCGCAGACACCTTCATTTTTGACTCGAACACGTAGGAATTCTATGCAATGAAGAATGCGTTGGTGATTGCAGAGATGCAGATTCTCAAGCGGCTCGGATTCAATGTTCACGTACAGCTGCCGTATGGCTTAATGGTAAATTATCTGAAGGTGCTTGAGCTCACAGAACACGAAAAGATACCACAACTAGCGTGGGGTTATCTAAATGATTCGTGAGTAATATATATGTACTTCTTAGAAACTAAACAATTGATTACGAGTATTACGAACTCTATAAAATCTTACTCCTCTCTTCTTTCTATCAGCCTACGTACAAACATATATGTATGTTATCAACCTCCGACTATCGCGTGCGCAGTGATATATCTCGCAGCACGTATATGTGGGGTGAAACTACCAACTCAACCTCCTTGGTGGGAGCTGTTTGAAGCAGAATTGGAAGATATCCTTTGATGCATTATGTGTCTCAATCGATGCTTGTTTGTTTGATTCCTTGACATCATGATTACATATAGAGAATATTGCTGGACACATAATGCGTTTATATAAATACGAGTTGCCTCCGAATCTACCACTAACATCTAAGGAATTGGAAGCTTATTTAAACAATAGAGCTAAGGAAGTGGCGTCTACAGATGCGCGGGTAAATAGGAACTAGTTACCGATTTCATTGAACCAAAGATAGAGGACTACCAAAAAGAATTAGAGAAAAGCTGGTGTTAGGGTTAAGAAAAATAAAGAAGTCAACAAGTATGCAATCGATCTACATTATGCCTTCAACCGGAATAACTAACTGTACTCGATCGTGTCATAGGTTGAAGACACTCGAAGAGAAGATACTCGAAGGGAAGACACTCGAAGAGAAGATACTCGAAGGGAAGATACTCGAAGAGAAGATACTCGGAGCGAAGACACTCGAAGGGAAGACACTCGGAGAGAAGACACTCGGAGAGAAGACACTCGGAGCGAAGACACTCGAAGGGAAGACACTCGGAGAGAAGACACTCGAAGAGAAGACACTCGAAGAGAAAATACTCGGAGAGAAGACACTCGGAGGGAAGATACTCGAAGAGAAGACACTCGAAGAGAAAATACTCGAAGATAAATAAATTTCTCTTTAAATAACAAGATATTAATGCAGTATGGATGGTTGTGGACAGATGGCTTTATTATTTTCGGGTTAGCTCTGAATAGTAATCCAAGACAAGCTTGGATTGTGACCATTAGGGATGTTTCAATGCTGAGTATCTTTCGGGGATTTATCATCTTCCTTTGTATCGGTAGTTCTCGCTAAATCTTCCAATGCATCTTTTAGTCGAGGATCGTCAGCATCTAGTCCTGGCAAGGATCCCAAGACATCGCTCATGTTATTGGAACCCTGTACAACACGATAAGCTATCCGTGAGAAATATAATAGTTATGGCAATAGTTTAAATAGAACCCAAGAAGATACTCACCGATTGTTCTTCAGCTTGTTGCATTGACATTGCAATGGCTCGTTCCATTAGTTCTTCTTCAGTAAGCTCGTGCATATGTATATCTCCATCCTACATGATATTTGTAGGATTAAAAATATTTTTTAAAAATGAAAATTTACCAACTCCCTGAGTCAGGACTAATGCAGTAATCTCTACCAAATTGCGCTACACAGACGTAAGAGCGCAAACTGCACTACAATCAACATACGTTAGTCTCCATCGATGCGGACAAGGCCGCATTCAATAATTTCTGTTCTTCCTCGATAACAGTACTATCCAGAGCCATTGTGCTTGATTCTGACTCGTGAGCACCAGTCGCTTTCGCCGCTTCCTGCTCTCTTCTCGCTTTATCTTCCTCAAGGGAAATTCTTATAGCCTATTATGTTAACATATTATGGTGTGTATACTAATGGTGCAACATAACCGCCACAATTGAGAGAGAGATCACATACGAGAGCCAATTCGGGATCAAGGTTTGGATCAACAAGATCGAAGTTGCTACCACCGTTAAACATGCTAGTATCCCCATCTTCGCTCATTACTATCGGCGTTTGAATCAGCGTTTGACTAAGAATCGTGGTACCGGGAGGAATAGTCACCAGATGACTAAATAATCAAGGAAATTTTAGAAACATTGATCCATCATCTCCAAACTGTTTAATCATTAATAAAGTCGTAGTAAACCTGTTGTTCCCAGCATTGACATTTGACATGAATGCCTCCAATTTCCGTTCATTCTCTTCTCCTTCACCAAAGCTGACTATATCGACTGCAACACTATTTTTCTTAGTTTTCTTCGCTAGCCTTATAAGAGTCTTCTCCTCTGCGTCAATTGGACTACCCACAAAAACTATGATCCGCTGACTTTGATTTTTATTCTGTCTATGTTTGAGTGCAAGCTATAAACATCCATTATACATGGTGAGAATGTGACAGAACAGAAATGAAACTGTCAGACGTGCATCGACGCACCTGTGCCACTTGAATTCCAGTAGTAATACTTGCTTTCCCTCCGATTTTCGTTTTATGCATTGCAGCGAGAATTTTACCAATGTCGGCAGTTGGCGTGACTAGGACTTCAGGTCTGAAGATATATGTAGTGTTAGCAAAAGTTACAAAAAAAAAATTATCATAGCACAAATTAACAACAAGACACGCAACCCTTTTCCAGCCATAGTCATCAGTCCTACAGTGTTCTCAGGGTGGAGTTGCGTCTTTGAGGCAAATATCAAATTCACTGCGTCATTTTGTGCTTCCATTCGAGTAGGCATGTAATCCCCATTGCGCATCCATTCCGAGTTATCAAGACTATAAAGGACGGGGTTAGTATGTGATGAAAAGCGAAAAAGTCCTGATTTGTATGGAAATAAAGTTTATGTACACTATCATAGTAGCTTCGAGCACCATGGTTATCGTTTGGTAAGAGTTAAAAAGTTACATTTACGATTACGTTTCAGCAAGGCTAATACGTCTGCTTTCACGTGATCTAAATTGACCAATAATATTCATAAACTTGCATTGTACAAAGCTCGCGTAAATAAAGTCAGCCCATAAGGGTCGCATTGAGTCTGAGCATCGATCTCTAATTTTCGATTATACCGGCTTCAAGCATTCTTTTGACTTCAGCTTCTATGAATAGGTCGTTCTCCCAGGATTGTCTGTACCGCTTTGAAAATACGGTTTTCTCTGGAATAGTCTCGATTCGATGTTTGACTAAAGTGGTTTGTCCAAGTTGGAGTAAGTCTTCTGCTTATATTCTTCGAGTAAGTCTTCTATCTGCTGATCTTGATCTGGCGTTAGATTTTTAGAGAATGGCAATCAACTGAGGTGCCGAAAGTGAGTTTGGCACCAGAGATACAGTGTGTCACGAAAAAAATGGCAAAAAATAAAATAAAATAGAAGCTCTTCGAGCGCGTACATTTTATGCAATATAAATTAATTTGTTTTGCGTTTTTTTATATTTTAATGTAAACACTTGCGGTTGTTCTTAAACTGTTCAAACTTTTGTTTTGCTCAACCCTAGGTAAAATCAATAAAACAAAAACGTAAACTGATTATAGAAAATATTTGTGAAAAAATACTCTATTAATTTATGATAAAACCTCTGCTCATAAGCTACTAAATGAAGTGTAAAGCTTATTCATTACTCTAACCGTTGAAGCACAATAATCAATAGTTTTTTTGCCATTATTTCATTTCGCGTCTTTCGGTAAAATTGGTCGTTATCCCGTGTTCGCAGAATAGAGCGCGGAAAGCGTAACAAATATGTCTGAAAACCAGATTCATGTTTATTTTAATCGAAACTTCTCTAAGTGGGATATTAAAGACTTCTTAGATAACTGTGAAGTCGTAAATATGAGTGACAAAATAAATATTTATATTAAATCTCTTGAGGCAATCGCCAACACTAAGGAAGGACAAAAGTGTAAAAAAGCAGAGGAATTGCTTGCAAGATACAGGAAGGTGAATTTCGTATTTAATTAAAAAGTATAGAATTTAGTGATCTCGAAGGTCTCGTATCATTCAGTCTCGAAGACGAGCTACGAAGTTAGTGCTGGGGCGGAGGCAATCTCGAAGGTTGTCTTACGTTCAAGGCTCGAAGTCGACCTGATGGGATAAAATAAAAGGATATTAATAAATACACTAATCAAGAATATTACTAATTTACCTAATTTTACGCGTTAGGGTTCTCGACCGGATCGGCTTCTTGCTCGAAATTGGGAAAGTGAATACAGAAATATGGCTAGTGAAGCTTCGACTTCGATTAATATTAATATTTACGGGGATATACAGAACAATGGGATCATAGCATCAGAAGCTACTAAAAATAGGATTGTGACGAATACAACACATCCAGAAAAGAAAAGACCGGCCGAGGAAGCCTCTCACGTAACCACCACTCCTCCCAATCTTCGGCATCGCACTCCACCGCCCGATGATGACGATAATTCGGATGGTAACGATGAAGAAAATATGGACAATCAACCAATGAAACATTACCTATCGAGGATTACCTGAAAAAATTCGAGGGAGCGTACTTGGAATTAGATCCCAATCATATGTGGTTGCTGAAAGTGGTCGTAAAGTAGAAGAAGTTATTTATCAATTCGCCAGAAATCTTCCCGAAGAGTCATATTTACACTCATTTATGATCAATGACATCGATATGGTCACCAAATCACTATTTTTGGATGAGGAGTGGAAGGAAATCACCACCTCAGTGGCTAAGGATAAACCAAAACTTGAGAATTCTCTTGTAAACTTACTGAAAAAATACACAGTTGATAATGTTGAGAGACTACGTGATGTTCTTTTTGAACCATTTATACCAGATGGATGCAAATATGATCGAAAACATCATCTTGATCTTGATTTTATTAATGGTGCTTATCGAGGAATTTTACGTTTGTGGGAAATGGAAGAAAACCCTATTATTGACTCTTTATTAGAAGGAATAAATATGTGGAGTCGAGTAATAGACCCAGCTTTTGATAATCTCAATATTGAATTAGTGCGTGGTGAGGGTATGAGTCATGCATCAAGTGATAGAAAAAACCTTACCAGAGCAACAAATGATCGAAAGAAGCTCGGTCGAAAAGGTGATGGAGTATTCAGATTACGCAAGAATCGTTTAGAATTTGGTGCTATAGAAGCGGGTCGAAAATGGGAAGAGAAGAGTGGAACCAAATATATGACAGATTCATTAAAAATATGTAAAATGTTAAAAGATATGTTAAACCAACTTGCCATTGAATGTGATATGAAAGAAGATCTCGTGAGGAAATTACAAGTAGTCGGAATACTTAATGGAGCAAACAGAATTCAGGTCATGACAGTTGACCTCCCTAAGGGATATATTACTCGTATTCAACGCAGAAAGGTCTATGAAATTGCTGGTCGTCTATCAAAATCTAAACCGCTTGCTTATGCTCTAAAAGAAATACTATGTGCGAAATCTATCATCATGCAGACAGTCGATATAATAAACAAGAAGGATGATGTTGATCTCGAAAATTTTCTCGATGATTCTGATGATCAAGATGGATATCACACACCCTTATATATGACTCCACAGAAAAAGGGTACTAAAGATGTAATTAATGAAAAAGAAAAGAAGTAAATAGTGTTACGTACGAACTTTGTGTGTGGGGAAACTTGTTCGTGTAATTAGCATTCATCATGTATGCCTGTAATAAAGTTTGTTAACTCGTGTATGCTACGTTTGGAGTGTTGGGATGTGTAACTGTTCGTCGAATTAATGTGCTGTTAAAATTGCATTGTGGCTATACATAACCTACGCACATGATCCCCTCAATCAGGGTGTCTATTTCGAAAAATTGTAAATGTTGAGAATTTGATTTCGGGTGTTTTTTCTTCGCAACGTTTGCTCCGAAGTACTCACTCTCCGACGAAGCACCAATATGACTTTTCACCACATATCTACTAAAAATCGAAGCGCGATCCGAATATTACGAACTGGGAGTGATGTGAATTACCAACTAGGAGAACCGGAGTTTGATGCAATGCATCATCCGAAGCATACGAGTCGGGATGCGTATCGGATAACATGATGTATATGTTACCGAATACACTCCATGCATATGCGCATCAATGGGTATATCGGAGTTATACTTACAGTGCAGTGCAAAAGTAATGAGAATTTTTTTGTACATACAAATAGAATTCTATTTGTCAACTCAATCTTACTCCAATTAAAAGATGGTTTTGTAGAATAAATTTTACATCAATTATAATAAAATTATGCTTTCTAACTTGGTTGTGGACAAGTAATATCTTTGAATTTGTCTCTAATGAATGGGCGAATATTATGCTAAAAATATTCTTGTCTTTTGTAATCAAAGGAGGAGGGTTAATACTAGGATGGAATAGGATTTAATTTCTTTGGTAATTTCGGAAACACTTGCTTTTCTGGTTTTTAATAAATTGAATTTTGTATAAGCACCATTAGCAACCAGCTGGGCTTTGACAATTCCAGGTCGACCTGTTTCAAAGAGAAAATGCTGATATTTTTGCAAACAACTCAATTTTTTAAAGAAAATTCCCAACACAGAGTTAAGATCTAAGTATTGAAAACCTTTTCC